GAAAAAGTCAGAAACAAGAAGAGACCTCTAGTTCATGTGAGGAGCAGGAGATACTCACAAGGGTGGAATACAAAAGACAACTTGCTGAGTCAGTAAGAAGCTCCTGAGTTCATATGACATAAGGTAATAAAAAGTCCACTCCCAGGCCTGGGGATTTTATCCTGAGGTATGAGGCTGTCAAGAGTAAAGTTGGGAAACTCAGTTCTAAGAAATGCATTTTAAAGTGGTTAAGATAGAACCAGGCTGTGGTGAAGACAGGGGTGAGAACGCCAAAACCCTGCTTCTCAAGGACTCTCAAGGGCCTAAGCTTTGGCACAGATAGAGCAAGAACTTGCTCCGTGTGCCAGGAACTCATCATCACAAGAGAGAGAGAGCAAATGTAAAACACTTGTGGAAACTCAGGTACTACAGCAACCCAAAAAGTAAGTCTGGTCGTCTGTCAGTCTGCAGAAGAATGGTTTTTGGACCTCCTGTGGATGCCAAAGTCCTTGGATGCTCAACCTCTTACATACATTGGTGTTGTATTTGCACAGAACTGTCATGTATCACACACTTTAAGTCATCTCTCCAGAGCTTTTAACACTTGGGATGATGTTAATACTGCATGCGTGGCTGTAACACGATGTGTAGAAACAGTAACTCTACAGAAACTTGTTCAGCATAGACACAGCCTTCCCTGGTATCATTGGACTTCCATGGATTGACTATGGCATACAGAGACCTTGTTTAACAGAAGACCAACTCTGTCTAAACATTATAGAGGGTCAGATGGACCCTACGTCACAGGCAGAGCAAGATGAAAAAGGAAATTTGGTTTGGAAAAGGACTAAATGGAAGGCCTAGAGATGGGAAATGCTACTGAAGAGAAGTGGCAGAGGTTGGTTTACAGCTGGGGACAATCTGGGCTTTGGCTCAGCTGGGTCCTTTCTCTGTGATTTTAATAAAGCCACCAGGACCCTTAGTTGACAAGGTTCCAACCTTAGAGCATCCTTAATTGGCATCAGAGTGGAAAGTAAAAGATTTGAGCGCCCGGCTTAGAACAGACCACAACAGACCAGCCGGTTCCACGAGAGGGAGGGGGTTGGTTTATTCAGGGCGGAGGGTGGGGGGAGATGCGGGAGAAGATGGTGGGAAAGATGAGAAGAGAAGAGAAGAGAAGAGAAGAGAAGAGAAGAGAAGAGAAGAGAAGAGAAGAGAAGAGAGAGAGAGAGAGAGAGAGAGAGAGAGAGAGAGAGAGAGAGGTAGAGGGCAGCCATGACCACGTGGAGAGAGGGTGAAGGGAAGAGGGGGAGGGGCAAGGAGCAGAGAGGACCTGCAGGCAAGAGAGTAAGAGAGTAAGAGAGTGAGGCGGGGGCAGGCAGCCCCTTTTATAGTGGGCAGGCCTACCTGGCTGTTGCCAGGTAACTGTGGGGAGGAGCATACCTGGCTGTTGCCAGGTAACTGTGGAGGTGGAGTTTAGACAGAATTTAGACAGAATACTAACAGAAAGTTCTATGAAAACTCTAAGTCAGGTCATGCTGCCTCTCAGACATGCCTTCAGAGGACTTGGAAGTGTTAGCATGGTGTCACCTAGGGGGGCAGGAGGGATCCCATTTGTACCTCCTGGATGCAGACACTAATCTAGCATAGAGGAGGGAGGGTCAGTTTAACCTCCAAGGACATCTGAATGCCTGACAATGCATAAGCAGAGGTGGTGTGTAGTTCCCCCTGGCTGCTCTCACATCACAGGCTTATCTGTTGGGGTCTGAGTTGCTTGGTGATTGGCTCTGGGGAGATGGCAGGATCTGGAGACTGCTGACATAATCAATATATTAATAACCGCTTGATGGATTACTGAAGGGTGGTGAAAGAGATGTGGTGGGGCCTGGTTTGAGTTCAAAGGACACTAGAACATGTCCCTGTGAGCTATAGCTGACCCTGGGTCCTTCATACTCTTTCTCTGTGCTCTTTGACAGTCATGAGGTGAGTAGCTTTTCCTTTATGCTGCTGTTGCCTAGAATCATCGGACCCAAGGGCTATGACAGAAACACTTGAAACCATGATCCAAAACAAAGCTTTCCACACAGAGCTTGAGTAACACACCATCCTGTTTGTAGAACATCCTGTGGGTGTTTGGTGGGGATGAGAGCAGTGGAAAAACACATATGCATCTTCTCAGAGACAACTAAGCAGTGTGGTATCGGGCAGTGCAGGGTTTCCATCCTGCCTGTTACTTACTGGGTCTGCTAGCACATCACTGACCTGGTTTTCTTGTCTGTGATTCAATAAGAATGATCTTCAGGTTGGCTTTGAGCTCCTATGCACAGACATGGAACGGGTGCCTAGCATCCATAGCCCACTAGCTTTGGCCTCAGGAGATGAGCAGAAGTTTGTCTCCTGAGCCATTCATTCACCTGCTCATAGTGTGGCCTTCACATGGAGTCATTTGCCCTTTGGTACTCGGTTCTGTTGTTCTAGGCTCTAGATTGCCTGCCCATTCCTATTCTTTCCAGACACTTGGTGTTTCACCTGAGCTCTCTACAGCTGCTATTTCCTCTTCCTTAAGAATGGAGCTCTGGGGCTGGAGAGATGGCTCAACGGTTAAGAGCACCGACTGCTCTTCCAGAGGTCCTGAGTTCAATTCCCCGCAACCACATGGTGGCTCACAACCATCTGTAATGGGGTCCAATGCCCTCTTCTGGTGTGTGTCTGAAGACAGCTGCAGTGTACTCATATAAAACACATCTTAAAAAAGAATGGAGCTCTAATTGCATCTGGGGCTCACCAGTACCATCAATCACTATTGTGAGTGGCAGCAGTAAATGACATAGTAGTCCCTGGCAGTGAGATCCGTCAAGTTATGAATACAAAGGCATAGGCTCCCTGGGAGAGTGTGGTGGTTTGAATATGCTTGCCCAGGGAGTGGCACTATTAGGAGGCATGGCCTTGCTGGAGGAAGTGTGTCACTGTGAGGGTGAGCTTTGAGACCCTCCTCCTAGCTGTCTGAGGACAGTCTGCTCCTAGCAGCCTTCAAATGAACATGTAGACCTCTCAGCTCCTCCTGTCCCATGCCTGTCTAGATGCTGCCATGTTCCCACCTTGATGATAATGGACTGAACCTCTGAACCTGTAAGCCAGCCCCAATTAAATGTTGTCCTTGATAAGACAATAAGAGTTGCCTTGATCTTGGTGTCTCTTCCCAGCAATGGAAACCCTAACTAAGACAAAGAGCTTTTATCCTTCTTCTTGTGGCTGAATTGTAGATGCAAGACCCGTAGGCACTGTAGCCATCCTGTAATCAATGGAACAGCAGCAACGACAAACTTGTAGAGTAGAAGGGAGAACACTGGCTGCGGGGAAGGCAGACCATACTCTTCTACTTTCTGGCTGCATAATCTCAGGCATGTTTAAAGTGGTATCTGTAAAATGGGGATAGAGACCTCCATCTTGTACAACAGTTTTGCGGATCCAGTACAGCAATGAATAGAAATCTACGTTCTCTGCTGTAAAGCTCTCTCCTATGCTGTAGTTGTTTTAATGCATAAATAAGTAAGTGTGACTTTAAGACAAAATGAAGGAGACCATTTGTTTCTCCTCATGGACATGGACCTTATGTCAACCAGCTCTGATCTGTAGCCCATCAGCTATGAAAACAGGAAGCAACTATGCAAACATTTGGAGCTGCAGGAAGCTGGCCAGGGTCAGCCTCTCCCAGCTGAGTGCCTCAGAAGCCAAGGACGAGGCCCCTCCTCTGAGGACATAAGTTCAAAGCCACCCCTTTGGGCTGTCCTCCCCTGGCCTTGGTCAGATCACCCTCTGTTATGGGAGACCTGTCCTCACTGGCTCCTCTAAGCTGTCTCCTGTTCTTTGCCCCTCCTCCTGTCCCATCACAGCAGGAATGGGGTAGGTTTTATTTGTTTGCTTTTTTTCTTTCTTTCTGAAATGCAATCTGCTTGGATCATCTGTCTCGAAACATTTCCATGGTTTCACGTTCTTTAAGGATTTGATAAAGGCTATGCTACCTTCCCGGCTCTAGATGTCTGGCTGGCCCTTTCCCTCTCTTCTCCAGCTGTACTTCTCCAGCCACGCTGACTTCTGTTTAGTTTCTGGAATGTGCTATGGTGGCCCTGAAGGCTTTGCCCATATTGTTCCTATTTTCTCAGCTTTGAGTTCCTACTTCTGGGGTAGGGGACAGGCTAAGCCTGCAGCAGGAACACACCTACCCCAGCTCTAGCATTTGTCCTGTCTCACATCTGTTCTCGTGGAGGTCTCATGCTCTTGATTGCACCCCAGGACAGGGATTTTGGTCTGTTCTCTTCACAGTCACATACCTTGCCTGGTAGACAGTGGTCCAGAAGCTGCTGGGCAGGTCAGGGAGGTAGGCCTGCTCTGCCATGTGAAAAAATGAGCACCTGGTATAGCCAGGCAGAGCCTCACAACTGTTTTGCTCGGCAAAGACTCCAGTGTGCTCCACCCAGGAGCAACAGGCTTGAGGACAGCTGGTGACTTGCCAAACTTACACATCTGTCAGCAGCCTTGCTAGAATTGGAGCCTGGTCCCGAGTCTAGCTTCCTGCCCCGGTCCAGCTAGCACAAAAGGTCACTCTAAATCTGTTTCCTCATCTGAAGAATGGGATCATAACAGGACCCTCTTCGCTGGCCTGTCCTAAGGATTAACTAAAGCAAGCCCATAAAGTGGCTTTTGTTTGGGGCTGCCCGTACACAGTGTGCACTGAGTCACAATCAGGATCAAACTGAAGAGCCAAGAATGGGTATATTTGTCTGCAATTCAAGAATAACAAATCAAAGGATCTCATGGATGAACAGGAAGATGAACAGATGGATGGATAGATGGATGGACCGATGGATGGTAGTGGAGTCCACAATGACTTAAGTAAGGGAAGAATCCTATGTACGAATAGCTGAAGACAGGAATGAACATTAGAGCGCGCAGCGCGGGTGCTCGTCTAGGTTTGGGAAACAGGACCCATCTGCTTCCCGCCAGTCGCAGCTCCCGCTCACCTGTAACGTCTAAGCTCTGCCTCCAGTCGCTGCACCTGGCGCTGCAAGCGAGGGACACGCCGCGCCAGCGCCTCCAGCTCCCTCACTCGGTGCAAGCTACGCCGCACCGCCTGCCTGGCCTCCTCGGTGCGCAACCGCACCTCCACCTGTCCACGCTGCAGCCGCCGGGCGCGCGCCTCCGCCTCTGCCAGCGCGCCCTGCGCTCGCTGCAGCTCGTGCGCCGCCGCTTCCGGGATGTCCGACTGGCTTTTCCAGAGGCCGACCTGCCCGCGAGAAGCCACAGTGAGTGACAATTGCAGGAGCCTACGGGGGATAAAGCAGCGGGCACAAGCGGCTAATGCACGTGTGTGCAAGACCCGCCCCCCTCACCTCCACCCCTAAACGAGCATAGCTGGGACAGAAAATCCACACTCTTTTTTTTTTTTTTTTTTTTTTTTTTGGTATGGTGACAGTAATTCCCCAAAGTCGTGACTTCTAGACTTAACTTCTGCATCCAATGTACGCTACTCCTAATTCACTGGACTCAAGGCACAGATTAAAGAGCAAACTGAAGTTTCCGCCCTTCCTGAAATCTGTGCTCTGGACTGTCCTTGGAAACGGGGGTGACCTGTTTTGTTTACTGCAGAGTTCCAAAGCATAAAAGAAGCTGGCACAATGTGCCCAGTAGACACTTGAGCGTGAAAGATGGAGGGACTCTTTCAGCCAGTCTCAGGCATCCCACACACGACTCTGCGCACTTCGAGGGTTCCCTCTGCCCCATCTTACACATATGAACCACGGAGACCCCTTTGACACTTAATTCTACTCTGCAGCATCTAGGAGGCAGGAGACGTCAATGTAACCCCAGTTTCTTCAGGTCCTCTTCCCATAAGGGCCCCTTTTCTCCCTTGGCTGGTCACCTGAGCTGCACTCAACACCGAGCTGTGTGTAGGGCTCAAGTGTTCATTGACTGACCCCGGGGCCAGGCTGAATCTACAGTTCATTCAATGGAGTCACCTCAATAGCTCAGAGTGAACCTGGCCCTCACTGCTAGCCATCCCGCGTCTTTCTCACCTGGGCTAGAGGCCTGGCAGAGAGGGATTCTACAGGTTTTGCTGACTTGGGGAAGGGCGGTCCTTTCTGTTTTCCTTAAACCTCCCCTAAGAAGGATGCATGCTGCCCCATCACTACATGGCTGCCTAAACAGGCTCCTAGGATTAGAAGGGACTAGGGTAGGAAGCTGGGGTCTTAAGGGACGATACATTGGGGTGAAAGTTGGAATGAAGGGAGTGGAGTGGGGGAGCGGAGAGGGCCAGCTGAAGAGGGGTGACTATATCTCCACCCCCGGCGTCCCGCGCACCTGAAGGGCCAGGCAGCGCGCGTCACTGCTCTGCAGAGCAGCTCGTAGGTCCTCCACCAGCTCTCTTAGGCTACTGTTTTCCTCCTCTAGATGTGCCACGCGCTCGCCATAGGCGCCACGGTGTAGGCTCGGTGAGCCAGGCCGGCGGCGGCGGCGCGGGCGGCGGAGGCGGATCTGGGTCTCGATGTGCTCGCTGAGAGCTCCGCGGGGCAGCCGGGGCCCCGCTCGGCTACTGAAGTAGCCGCAGAGGCGCGCGTGGAACTGGCGGAAGGTGAGCTCAGGGGGGTCGGCGCGCAGAGCCAGGCGCGCCTCTTCCCTGACGTCCGCGTCCCCGCCAGCGATCATCCCAGCAGCCGGGTTCTTGGCGGCCGCCTCCCCGGAGTTTGCATCCTCCGTGGTCGCCTCCCCGTCAGCGTTCAGCCCTAGTACCGCGCAGAGCGCACGGAAGTCGGCGCGCGGCAGGCGGCCCGCACCCCGGCAGTCCAAGTGGTGGAAGACCTCCTGCAGATACTGGTCCAGACCGGTAGCCAGCACCACGATCTCGTTCTCCACGCCGCGGTCCAGCCCGTAGTGGTGAGCCAAGGCGCTCAGCAGCCACTGAGTGCGCCGCGCAGGCCGCCGGTATGGGTCGCCCGCCGAACCCTCCATGCCCAGACCCTGGCGGCTCCTCTCGGCCGATCGGCGCCTGCAGACAGCTGCCCGCGTCCCCGGAGGGAGGGGCCGGGCGGCCACCACCAGGCCAGAGAAGCGCGGGACCGTGTCCAGGCAGCTGCGTGGGCCGTGCAGGACGTCTGTGTTTGTCCCGGAGGGAGGCGCTGGAGCTGCGCGCTCTAGTAATGGCCTTGACCTGCGCTCCTCATCGCTCCCCATCCCCATCCCCACCACTGTAACCAGTCCCTGGCTCAGTTCTTTTGCCCTCTCCAGGCCTTTCCGCTATTGTCATTAGAGGCTGCAGCGCCCGCGCCTGCAGCTGTATTCTGCAATTCCCAGTGCACCCGGCAACCTGCCTAGTGTCCTCTGCCCCAGCTGAGAGGGCTCCTCTCCAGACTGCTTCCTAAGCTCTCCCTCCTCCTACTTAACTAGAATCGAGGAGGAAACAAACTTGGAAGAGGACGAAGTTGGAGTCGTTGGTGAGAGAAAAGTGGTTGTCTACCGATGCCACCTTTGGGCTCCAAGTGGTGACTTGGCCTGAGTCGGAAGGGATGAGGTAAACAGGATTGTTTGGCCACTATTTTCTCTGGTGCCCTAGAACTTGATTTTAGAAGATGTTGGACAGATATGCTTGCTCTTGAGTACTAACTGGCTTTTCTTTTCTCTTTCACAGAGATGTGGTGTTGACTCCACCTGTTGCCTGCCGTGGGAACCTTACCCAGCTGTATTGGAGCAAAAGGCAAACTCAGCGGCTCTTGACTATTAGATAGGCAGATCTTGTTTTGTGTACACCTCTGATTTTAAATGTTAAATCCCGGTTGAAAAGCATTATCATTTTGTTTTCTCCATTATAGCATCCCAGACCAGCACTTTGTCCTTTGTCCCACACATTCTGGGAAGGAATCAGACATCCTAAGCACACACACCTCCAAGCATTTTGTGTGTGTGTGTGTGTGTGTATATATATATATATATGATAAAAGCAATGACAATTTAGTGAAATAACTTACAATTCCATATCTTGGCTTCCACCTTAGAAAACCACGTGTACAGCATGTTTACTTACCACATTATTGGTTATAATGGCTGGAAGCTGATATTCAGCAGGGCCCCAGCTAGGACAGATCACTGAACAAAGACGAATGAGGAAACGCTCTGCAGCAGTTTTTGTGAATGTTAATACCCATGTGACAATAACAGTACCGCACAGAACATTACTGGATGTTTCCTACAAAGAAGCACACAAGGAACGGCAGCCACAAAACATCTGGTTGCTCCCTCTGGTGAGGGTGAACCTTTTGCTCTCAGCACACCAGCTCTTTTGCTCAAATGGGAGACTGCACTGTAAGATGTACAGAACAACAGTGCTTAGTGTGTCACAGCTGTCTAACCACAAGTACAACCTAGAACTTCAACATTTCCACCCAGCCATCCCCACCCTGCCCCCGCCGTGTGCACCCAATACTGCTCAGTCTCTAACTCATCCTTCTGCTACTGTTACTTTCTGAATCCGAAGTCTGCCTGTTCTAAATGTTCCTATAACTGGAATCATACAGAAGGTGGCCTTCTGGGGCTGCAGAGATGGCTCAGTGGTTAAGAGCACTGACTACTTTTCCAGCAGACCTGGGTTCAAGTCTTCTTCCCACAAGGTGGCTCACAACCATCTGTAACTTCAGTCCCAGAGAATCCAGTGCCTTCATCTGACCTCCATGAGCACTGCACACACACCACACACAAATAGAAGCAAAACATCCATACACATAAGATTTTAAAAGGGGAGTGGATTTAAGGTAGCCTCCTGTGTAAATTTTTTTTTGTGTGTGTGTTTGCTTACATTCTTTCTTTCTTTTCTTTTTTTTTTTTGTATTTCTAGATCATCTTTACTTGATTTTTTTTTGGGAGGGGATGAAGGTAATGTAAAACACTTTATATTAAAACAGGTGCAGATAATATTGAATAGAATATAAAATTTATGTTACTTTTTGAGACAAAGTACTTTTGACACCAAAGACATTTCTAGCTAAGCTATTCATGAGCTTTAGGTTGTAACTCTGCGCAGATAAAGACTGGCATGCTCACATTACCTAACAGCATGGCCTCTGCTGCATTGATACAAATCCAAAGGCGGTAAATTCAACACTTACTTATTTGGCAAAGTACAAGTGAGCTACTTAGGCGACACTTTAAGCTTTCTCTCTTTTTTAAAATTAAGTTTTAAACTGATTCTTTGTGAATTTTACATCATGCACCCCAATCCCACTCTTCTCCCCGTCTTCATATCCATCCTCCACCCTTGCAACCTTCCCACAAAAGAAGAGAAGAGAATAAAAATAGAAATTAAAAACAAACAACAAACAAGAAAAAGAACCCAACAAACAAGCAAACATCCATCTCCGTCTCCTCTGTGCTGCAGTGTGGTTCCACAGTTGTGTGCTGACTTTCTAAGGAGTGGCACTGTAACATACATTCTGTTTCAGTTCTGAGGGATGCTCCATTGCCTGGACAGACCACATTTTGCATTATTTGTCCACCAACTAATGGGTGTTGGGGTTTGACTGTTGTGAGTGAACCTGCTACAGATTTTTGTCTGTTTGTTTGAGTTCATGTAATTCACTTCCTTTAGGTATACTTAAGAATGGGTTAGTTGCTGTGCTGGCTAGCTTTTGGCAACTTGGTAAAGCTGGAATCACCCAGGAAGAGGGAATGTCAACTGAGGGACTGTCTCCATCAGATGGGACTATGGACATGTCTATGGGGCATTTCCCTTGATTAATGAATGATATGGGATGAGGGCCCTTTCCACTGTTGGTGGGGTCACCCCTGGGCAGATAATTCTTTATTATATAAGAAAGCAGACTGAGCAAACCATGTAGAACAAGCCAGTGAGCATGATTTCTCTGTGGCCTCTGCTTCAGTTCCTGCCTTGGCCTCCCTCAGTATTGCAGTGTGGTCTGTGAGGCAAACAGACCTGTTCCTCTCCATGTTGATTTTGGTATCATGGCAATAGGAAGCAGCCTAGGACAGATGCATCCTGTAGTCTTTTGATATCTTGAGGAATGGCTCCTATCTTCCCCAAAGAGGCCTCCGTTTTCACTGACAGTAACAGTGCACTCCATGTGTTTTCCAGCATGTTGAGTTATACAGAGATGCTCAGCCTGCACTTTCTCCACTGCAGTGCCTGGTGTCAACCTCTTTCTTCTGGCCTGTACCAGTCAGCTGGTACTATCACCGTAACAGGTACCCCAAGAAAGATTTATTTTGGCTCACAGTTTGCTTTGGGGCTTTTGGTGACACACATGCATATATGGTGATTAAAATGCCATACACATCACGGGTGGTGTGGTGGTTTGAATAAAACAGCCCCTATAGGCCCATAGGGAGTGGCACTATTAGGAGGTCTTGGAGTAGGTATGGCCTTGTGCATGAGCTATGCCCAGTGTGGCTCACAGTCTTTTTCTGCTGCCTTCAGATTGAGATGTAGAACTCTTAGCTCCTTTTCCAGCCCCATGTCTCCCAGCATGCTGCCATGCTTCTTGCCGTGATGATAATGGACTAAATCTCTAAAATTGTAAGCCAGCCTAATTAGCTGTTTTCCTTTATGAGTTGCCATGGTCACGGTGTCTCTTCATACAATGAAACTTTAACTAAGAAAGAGAAAGAGGAAGAGGACGAGACTAGGAGTCCACTGTTGTCCTTATGGGCACAACCCAAGTGGCAGGCTCCTAGGTCTCTTCTCTTGAAGTTTTTCCATCTCTCATTAGCAGCACCCAAGGGACCAAGGTTTTCACATACATACCTTTGGAAGACATTGCAGCTCTGAATTATAACAAGATTCCCCCAAGGCACACCGTAGATCCTACGGTAAGCCTGTCCCATGGACCCACCTTTGAAACTTGTCCTGAATCTGCTTTCTTCCCAGTGTACTGTGGTCACCCTAAGCCAAGCTCCTAGCATCTCTCTCCTGTGTGATTGCTTCACCTGCTTCAAAGGCTTGAATTACGTATTGAGGGACGCTGTTAAATCTTAAGTTATACCATGACCTTCCTCCTCTGCTCAGAACTCACTAGGGGTGAAAGACAAAGTCATCATCTTGACCCCAAGGATGGCACATCAGTACCTACTGTCCCTAACCTCTACCATCAGTGCTTCCTGTCTCAGGCCTCAGCATCTGTTCACCTATCCATAACTCCTTTACCTTACCTACTCTGGATCCCATCAGCCCTGGCAGATTAAGAAACACCAGACCACATGGGAAGAGCCCTGCCTGATCTGCTCACCTGGAATAGTATTTAACACAGCAGAAGAAACAGACCGACGGCTCCTATTTTAGCTCCTTCCCCATGGCTGTCACAGCATATGGCTGATTTTAGCTCCTTCCCCATGGCTGTCACAGCATATGGCAGTGTGGCATGTTGCTCTGCGTCTGCTCTTGTTGCTAGTCACAAATAATGTCTGTCTTTTATTGGTGTGTGAGTTTTAAAGCAACCCTTGCACTACATCACGTATGAGCGTCATACATGGCCTGAGCCACATTAGGATGGAGACCTGGTGCCTCACAAAGTAGTGACTTGGTTGCTTTGCTTTGCACCAATTCATACTTGTGAATATGAATTTACAGCACCAAAAGGGAAAACTGTTTCTGGCAGACATCATTCTGGATTTGAATGTTTCCTAGTCCAGTGATATTGGAACTCCTAAGGTTCCAGGTGTTGGTAGTGGAACGTACCTTCTGCTGTACTATGAAGTCCTGCCCTGGAGCTTAATGTAGCCATTTAAAGCAAATATCTGGGCTGTGATAGAGTCCTGTCTCTGCAGATGAGCCTGGTTTTTATCTCATGTCAGTTTTCAAGGCTTAGCCTAAGATGCCACAAACACCCTTCCCAGTCCCCTGCTGGTAACTGCTTTGCTGAAGGACTCCTTCAGACAGTAGCTTTCCTGGGCCAGACAGTATGGAAAACAAAGCTTTTCAGTATGTTCCCATAGGCTGTTCCCTAGTCTCCTGCAGCTTAGTGGGGAAGGGTTTATAATGGCGTGTTGTTAGGCCTGTCTATCTGTGGGCTGTGTTACTAGGCACCCCTGAAACAATCTCACTTGGATCCAGAAGGCTTTTGTTGTTGGTTCAAAGCATGTAAACTCAGAAAGTTTGTGGGCTCCTTTGTACGTGCTGGGGGGTGGGATATCTGTGGGAGAAGAGTTGAAGTTCTGGCAAAGAAGTTACTTTTGAAGTCACTCCAGGATTGTTTGAGCTGTTTCCAGCAGTGCACCGTTCAAAGTGTCATTACGAAGTCTAGAAATACATTAAGTAGCAAAGGTCACCTAAGATCCTGCAACCATCTAGCCTACAGTGTATTTGTGATGCATTTATTCTAGAATTCTCCATGTACTGGGACATGAAAGAATTTGGGGTTGCTGCTTGAACTGTGCTTTGTGGTGGGGGTCACAGCACATCTGACACTTTGGAAGGACAAAGCTTGTGATTTGTAAATTAAGAGGACAGAAATTTGCTCAGGAATCTGATGTAAAGAGGGTTTGACGGAGACTGTTTCTGCTCTGTGGAGTGGCAGCCAGTGTGCTTATAGCCTGGGGACTGACATTGGCTAGGCACTCTCAGAACAGTGCCACATGATCCTTGCATGGTCATCTGTACTTGTAGACAACATAGAGGCTATATTTGAAAATGAGGCTCCAAACAAGACAGCAACAAGGCTTGTAGGAGCTGATGTCAGAAGTCACATGGTATTACATCTATGAACTTTATTGGCTGAACCACTGTGTGGGAGGAGTATGGACCACACAAAGCAAGAACATGAGAGGATGTCTGAGAGGTGCTATATCCTCAGAAAACACAATGCCGCTGGTCCCTAAGCCTTGTTCCTGGAGAGTTATCCCTGAAGGCCTGGACCGGAACCTCAGGATATTATTGTTATTGTTAGTATGTCTATTGTGCCGGGAGTTTAACCTTGGGCCTGGCACTGCTGAGCAAGCTCTTTGCCACAGAGCTACATCTTCTTTTGATGTTTTGTTTTGAGACAGGGTCTCCCTAAGTTGCCCAGGGTGATCTTGAACTCACGTTGTAGTCCAAGATAGTCCTGAGCTTGGGATTTTCCTGCCTTGGTCTCTTGAGTAACATAGGATGACAGGCCTGTACCAACAGGCCTAGCAAAATCTTATTTTTGATGCATTCTGTTTAACATTGATGTGTATTTAGGATGGGCTTTGGCCCTTTGGCCTAGACCTATGGCCTCTCACCTTGAGCCTGGGGAGTATGGCTGTTGTCCTTAGGTAATGTGATCAAAGACATTTTGAACTCTGTTGCTGGATCACCATGATAATGGATCTTTCTGTCTCTGTCTCTCTGTCTCTCTGTCTGCCTCTCTCTTTCTTTCTCTCTCTCTCTCTGTTCCTGGGAAGGACTTGTCCAGTTTGGCTGTGCCTTACTGCTGAGGTGCCTCCACCTTGCTGAAGCTGATATCTGATGATGTGAAGGAGTAAAGCCAGACTTTGTAGGTTTCGTTGTGGCCAGTGCAATCTTGACACCCAGTAACACTTGTTCCTGGTGTTCTTCAGGAGCTCTACGATTTAGCTAAGGAAGACGTTGCCATTCACAAGCATCTTGAGATGAAAAGAAGGAGAAGGATGTTTATTCCTGACACAGAGTTGAATTTACCAGTTGGCTCATTATCACGTGAGAACTTGGAAATATGAGTCATCCAGGTCTCCACACAAGTAGCATCATGAATCTGTTTGTGTACTTAATAAAAATCGTGGTTTAAATTTAATAATATGAAAGGACTCTTCTGAGGGAAATCAGAGTCAAGGTTGTAGGTGGAACCCAAGGGACAGGGATCCAGTGTCTGCTGCTGGGGATGGAGCTGCTGACCTGCTCCTGCTGCCTGCTGGCTTTAGGAGCTGCTGTATCTTCAGCCCTGCGCCCCCCCCCCCCCCATGTGTTTTCAGCCTTGGTTCATGGATTGCACTCACCAGGATGCTGGAGTGTGGACAAGGTGAATAGCCTTCCTTAAAGTGACTTGCTGCCATTTGACCCCTTACAGTCTTTCTTGAGGTTCTGGCTTTATCTTGATTTAACTGGGAGGTTCCATTGACTATGCAGTATTCTGGAATGTTCTGTCTCATCTGATGACCTAGAAAAGCATGCACTGGGAAGCTTAGGACTTGGTCCCAGCTCCAGCTCTGCTGAAGTTCTGCTCTGAGACTAAAAGTAGGTCATAGTTCAAACTTCAACTTTACTTTTCTCAGCAGCCAAATGTATGTATGTTAAGCCTTGTGTCCCCTTTTCTTTACTAAACTGGCTGATGGAACACTCCCTCGCTAGAAAACCTACCGACCATTCCACCAACCCTCCACATTCCCCCCACCTCCATCTTTTGGGGCACTGTACCAAAAACCATCTTGCCGTTCATTAGTTTTCTATGAACTTGTCATGAGCCCTTACCCTCTAGGTCTTGTGTATGCCGTTTCTTCTGCGTAGGCTATTTCCTGCGTTCACAGCCCTGTCTGGTTTTCATTACCTCTTGCAGTTCATCCCCGTCCCATTGGCTAGTCCACTGTGGGTTGTTCCTGTCTGGCTCAGGCAGTGTGCAGTGGCCTTCTGGGTCAGGGGCAGCAGCTGGGGTGCTTAGCCAGGGTGCTTCAGTGTGGGTGGGCTTTGTTGTGGAGTGCAGGCATAGGTGGTCAGGAGTCTAGATTTCAGTCCAGTGCTGCAACATACTTGCTGTATGGCTGCTTCACCCTTTTAAGTCTGTAGCCTTATTTCAGGGGAACAGAATTCTCATGATATTTCAGGTCTGAGAATGTAGAGACCATCGCTTCCTTTAGCTTTATTTAAGCGTGGGAGGTGGGAGTGGATGGGGACTTGGAGAGGATCTAGAAGGTATCCAGCTCAGAGTGAGAAGTTTTAAAATATTGGGTAACTATCTGAATCTGCCTTCCACCTTTTTGACAGGTCTGGTGCACCAAGGCAGAGCAGAAGCCGTGTTGTGAGAAGCCCATTCTTGCCCGCTCACCCCTCCCCACCCCCGCAGTGAGCTCCTTGTTGAAAAGTTCATATTCCCCCCACCCACCCATTCCCCACCCCCACCTATCCCCCACTCCCAACCCCGGAATATGTAGAAGAAGCAGGTTTCCACCAGAGCCTACAACCAGGAGCTGAACTCAGCTGGAGGAAGGAAGCCCCGCCCCCAGCTGTGGACTGAGGTCTCCTGGCAACCGCCTAACAAAGTCCCTTTGGGACTCTGCTCTCTTAGCGCCTGCGCCTAACTTCCCCAGTGGCTGAACTGTGTAGCGGGTGCAGAAGCCAACAGGTGTGCCTACTCACAGGTAACCCTCGAGCCTTGGGGTTAACCTCTATTTCCCCCCAGACGCCCCAGGTCCCCCAGGCACCGACTTCCTAGCTGCCAAGCTAGAGTTCTGTGTCTTGAAACATGAGTGATGTCCAAGCCAGAACTCTTTATCTTGCTTCAAGTCAGCCTCCCGGGGTTTGGTATACACTGTGCCGGCTCACTTTCCCCTTCTGCAAGTGAGAGTTGCCAGTTCTGTGCGGTTGCCACGTCTGGGACTCTGCGACATACTCTTGAAGGGAGTCAGATCTCCCGTCTTCAGGTGCCTCCTGGGTTAGTGGTGACCTAGGCTCACCTGGATCCGCAAGCCAAGAGCACCCCCTGATGAACTCCTGATTTCGGAGACAGGAGTAGCTGAGCTCAGGTTGGAGAAACATCACTGATCGTTCGCTGCAATTCTCTGGGGGTTCCTTTTCTCCATCTGTGGGGTACTCACTGTGGAGCAGGCCTCTACCAAAGCCTGGGACATTAGAGACAAGACAGAGATGGGACTGGGAGGGTGGCCTTCCTGCACTGGGCAGATTTACTCCTGGGATCTTTGCTGTCTCCCATCAGGACCACCCTAGCGCTGTGCAACATGTCCCTGCAAGCCTGGGAGTGGGAGGAAGAGGAAAGAGCAAGCACGGGGCCCTTTTCCGTGACCAGCGCTTGCCATTCAGTGAGCGAATGTGACATGGAGGACTACCTGAAGCGCAGGAACCCAGCCCATGAGTGGGACTCTGAGGACCAGTTCAGCAGCAGCCTGCATTCCTCAGAGGGGCCTGCCGGCGCCTCTAATACTGATGTGCCCCAGATTGTCCCCTGCAGATTTGTGATCTCACTGGCTTTCCCCACACTGATAGGTAGGTGCTAAGGAAGAACTTTGCCTCTGAGCAAGGTGGGAACTGACTGGCTTCCTCTGGGAGCTGAGGGCACATCTGCGCCTCTTTCCCTCTACCGTTCCCCTCCCATGCTAGAGTAGTTGGCACCAACCAAGGCAGAGATCAGAAAAAGAACAGTAAATTTGGGTCCAGCTATTGGCTAGGCATGGAAGTGATTGTGGGACTTTCCCTTAGCCCACTCAGAGGCCACAAGAAGCAGGTCACACCCCTCCCCTCCTTTCCTCTCCTCCCTTTCCCTCTCCTTTTCTCCCTCTCCCCTCACCTTCTCTCTTCTCCCCTTTTCTTGTCTTCCCTTCCCCTTTTCTCTCCCCTTCCCTACCGCAGCTCAACAAACCCTGCAAAAGTTAAGACTTGGTTCTCATAAACTGTTACCCAATGCCTTACTTAAAATACATCCTAGACTCATTGGCCCAAATCTCTCGAGTCAAGAAGTATACCAATTTACTAGTGCAGCAGACACAAAAGGAGCTCCACCCTCACTGGTTACAAGCAGGAGCCATAGTTTCTTCACCAGGTTGCCAGTCTAGGCTGGGCTCTGGACAAGTGGCCTTCCTTCCTCTGCTCCAAGCCTTTCCTTTTACTTCTTGCTAGCTGTACTACTCCAGACACTGACTTACCATGGACAGGCTGGTGCAAACAGAGGGCAAACCTAACCTATGATAGTTTATCTTGATTGCCAGCCTGATGGGCTGTCTGATCATGGAAACAAACTGCCGGGTATGTGGGTGAGGCTTGTCTAGAGTAGGTTGAGGTAAGCAGACAGACTCTGGGAGTTGCAGACAGGAAGTGCTTTGGCGGCTCCTGTGATCGATCCTGACTTCATGGCGAAGTGCATCCTCTGCAACTGTAGCCTAAATGAGCCCTCACTTCTGCACACAGCTTTGTGGGCCAGGTGTGGTGGCACATTTAATCCCAGCACTCAGGAGGCAGAGGCAGGAGGATCTCTGTGTGTGGGAGGCCAGCCTGGTCTACAGAGTGAGTTTCAGGTCAGCTAGGGCTGTTACACAGAGAAACCCTGTCTTGAAAAACAATTTTTGACCCCTTAAGATGCTTCAACTAAAGAAGGGCTCCCCCACTGAGCTCCACTCCAGTCCTCCAGAAGCTTTGTTTCTATTCTTCAAAAGATTCCCTCTCCGCCTCTCTGTCTCTCTCTGTCTCTGTTTCTCCTCTCTTTCTCTGTCTCTGTCTCTCTCTGCCTCTGTCTGTCTGTCTGTCTGTCTGTCTGTCTTTCTGTCTGTCTGTCTCTCTCCCCCACCCCCAATCTCTGTGTGTGCATGTGCTTGGCCTGAAATTGAGATAGGGTTGCTGGACAGTGAATCCCTAGGATCCTCCTGGTCTTGACTCTCAGCCCTGGGATCACGAGCATATGTCACCATGCCCGGATGTTTTTAGGACTAAGGTCATCATGGTTGTATGGCAAACATTTACCAACTGTGCTACCTCCCCAGCCCTGGTGTAGACTTTTGTTTTGTTTTGTGGTTTTTTTTTTTTTGAGACAGGGTCTCACTATGTTGCTCTGGCTGTCCTGGGACTCATTATGTAAACTAGGCTGGCCTCAAACTCATAGAGTTCTGCCTGTCTCTGCCTTTCAAATGCTGGAATTAAAGACAATCACCACAACACCCCAGCTAGACATTCTTATATATACATTTTTTGTAGCATATGTGGTCACTTCTGAAAGGACAGGTATCACTCAGGATCCCCAAGACCGTGTTCTCAGCACGAAGAAGATTTATTTGTCTCAGGGAAAGAGGGCAGTGATAAGGGCCAAAAAAGGAGATAGAGGAAGAGGGGGAAGGGGAAGGGAAAAAGGAGAGGGGAGAGAAGAGGTGAGGGAGAGGGGGAAGGGGGATTTGTCCTGGAGGACAAAGGACTCCTCTGGATAGAGAGAAGACAGATACGGCACACAGGAAAACAGCAGTTTATAAAGTTACAAGGGGAAACCCTTTGTTAGGACGAGGAGTTTTGATTGTTGGACTCTAATACTTTGATAACTGGACCTTGGTAGTCAGCCTCAGAAGGAGGAAGTGGCCAAAATAAGGGACTAGACCTTGGTGGCTAGCCTTAGAAATTGTAATCTAATGGTTTTTAGCAAGGCAGAGGAAATGGGAGAAGGGCAAGGCCTGCCAGAGCCATGCTCACCAGGATTGAGCTAGCCAGAGTCTCTTCAATGTCTGTATCCCTAATTCTAAGAAGTGGAATTATTTTGAAAGTATGTACTTAAAATTGTTTTGATGGCTGTTGTCAAATTGCCCTTGAAAGAATTAGAATAATCCCCTCTCCCAGTAATAGAAAATGACTCTATCTGCTCATTTCTCTCCTCCCTCCCTCCCTTCCTTTCCTCCCTCCCTCCCTCCCTTCCCTCCCTCCCTC